AATATGAAAGTGGAGGCAGGAATTGCCACTGATTTCTGCTTTGAGGTCGCAGTGGTGATTGATAAGCTGTGAGAGACGGATTCCACCTTTAAAAAAAAGTTTTCAAAAACATCATTAATCATTTCTTGAACACAAATTGCTTTTAGATACAGCACTCCAGATTTATAGATATGGCAAAACATTTACTCAAAATATTACAGTTGAACTTTCATACCTCAAACATCCCTACCTCATTTTTTGTAAAATCCCTGTCTGAATTCTCTTGGAAAAAATAGACTAAGAGCCGCCCTAACTCCAAGGCTTTCCTCCACAAAACCTCCATAAGCCAAATTTTCTGGAAGCATTTGGACTATTTTTTTATTGGCACAGGAAAAAGAAAACCAATAAAAACCTCATGCTGTTTCACAAGAAGAAAGTGAGAGATTAATTTGGCAAGTGAACCCTTGCCTCCTTCTTCAGCATCCCATCAACTCATTTAAGAAGCAATTCAAGACCCAGAACATCCCCAATTAAAATTTCCTGTAATTCTTCTTTCTCTCCCCCCCTCCAAAAAAACAAAACGCTGTTTTCCTCAACTCAAAATATAACGTAGTCAAATTTTTTGAGTTTGACTCAAAGATGTTCATACGTGATTTAAAACGAGAATTAGAGGCAAAATTTCATAAAAGATTCGATTCGTGAACAAAAGGGATCGTCCATCAAAGTTGACAAGTCTTAGTTTTTTTTTTTTGGCACCTGGTTGGAATGCTGAGGTTGTGAAAAATGTGCAATGAGATCGTCCTTGTTTCTTGTCCAGATCTTGGCAAGAATCTCTCCTCTGCCTCCTTCAAGCTCTTCAATGAGAAAATCCTCCGCTTTCCAACGATTTCGCACAGCCTAAAAATAAGTTGGCGAAAATCATACAATGAGCAGCTCGGAGCGAATTATTTGAAGAGTTCTACCTCAGAAAACAAGTTGACCAGACAAACTTCTGCTTCGGTGATCTCAGATTTCAGAAATCCCAGGGATTTTACCAGAAGATCAGTTTCCTCCTCATTGAAAGCAGGTTTCTTGGGTTCTTTTAGATTCCCAACAACTCTTTTCGCAAACTGAGACAACTTTGTTTCTTCAACTTTCGTCAGAATTCCCAGCTTTCTCTCCTTCCTCCTGAAACATTCCAGCATTAGTCCCGATTCGCTTTTAAAATTTG